TTCATAGTTTACGAACTACACCAACCATTTCACCCTATTCAAGACCTTACCATCACTGATCTACAAATATTTTATGTCAATCAAGCCTCATACTTAACATTAAAATGGGCAGCATGGTGGCTCAGTGGTTAGCACTGCTGCTTCACAGCACCAGAGACCCAGGTTCAATTCCACCCTCGGGCGACTGTCTGCGTGGAGTTTGCACATTGTCCCCGTGTCGGTGTGGGTTTCCTCTGGGTGCTCTGGTTTCCTCCCACAGTCCAAAGATGTACAGTCTAGGTGGATTGGTCATGCTAAATTGCCTGTAGTGTTCAGGGATTTGTAGATTAGATTGGTTTGGGTGGGTGCTTTTAGGGTCGGTGTGGACTCGTTGGGTCGAAGGGCCTGTTTCCACACTGTAGGGATTCTATGATCCATGATTCTACAATTTGTACGCTTCACCTCATTCTCACCAGCTGTCAGTGCTACAAGACTCAGATGCTAACTCACATGTTGCACCTTCACATCAGCCAATAATATTGCAAAGATACTCAACAAAATATTCTCTTCAGATGCAAGAATGAAGTTTCAACCTAATGATGGAAAACTAGAACCACATTTTTTTTATAATGAATGATTAAGTTCTGCACTACTAAGCAATTATTTTCCACTGTCTTAGGACAATGATTGAGGTATCAGCAGCTAATCAAAGAGGGGGAATGCAAAGCTGCAAGTGCAAATTCCACGGAGAAGATGATATTGACTATTACTAGAATCCATATCTTAGATGGTGACAAGAATGAAGATATTGAAGATGGTAGTATTTTCATACTTAATTTTCCTTCTCCCATCTCACTATCCTCTTGTCTCACACTCAGTCCTAAAAGCTACAAATGATATAAGAATGCAATTCTTACTTTCACTCATCCTTCCAACCTTGCTGCACCACAAACTGACTGTTGTGCCTTTTTCCTCTCAGATATCCGAGAGGTACAAGCAAGCCAGTCAGTGGAGGAACACCACGAAGGCAATGTACTGTGACTTGGTATCAGACTTCCTGTCACCATCACAGATATGTACTGCATGTATCTTAAAGGATAAATTAAAGATCTGCATGTGTGATACCAAGGGTTTACCAGATGGCAAGGTCTTACATTGGTTCCACTGCCAAGGATTCAGATGTGAACCCTGATGGGGGTTCATATGCCGCGCTTACAGAGAACAACTGACGGATTTGCATTACAATCACTTGCAAATCTCATATCCATCTACCAATCTAGTCTCATAGAGGTGAATGGGAGTGCTGAGATGGTGACCCAGCAGTAGTTGCATAGAACTCTAATCTGCTGTCCTCTCTCAGCAAGACAGTAGTTTATCCTCCTTAAGCGCTAACCAATCCCCACGCACTCCCATTCACCCACCCACCACTATCTGGATTCTAGTTATGGCTGCAGAAAACATCAGATTTCAGTGAGGATCTCCTCATTGACATGCGGACATCTCAAATGCCTCACTGAGTTTCAGGTTGGGTGGATGTGGTCTTCGGCTGAGAGCCCTTCTCCTTCTCCCTCTTCCAACAACTTGTCTTGCTCTGTATTGGTTCTGTTCATTCTCCTTGTCATGTTGCATTCCAGTCAGGTTGCTTACTCGTTGCCAAGTTTGAGAGCAACTGGCTTGTGTCGAAAAGTTGAAGTCAGCAAAAAGTCCTTCAAGTAGATGCCCTATAGTCTTTTGCAACTTGAAAAGATGTAAGAAAGCACAAGCCACTCGTAGAACTGTAGCAAAAGGGATCAGTTAGCACCTAAACTGTAAGAACCTAACCTAATGAAGACCTTAAATAATGCTAGTAATGAACCTTCTAACTTCATAGATGTTAACATCCACAACAGTATGGTGCTGAGTCAGTTTGCCCCAGAGTGGGGTGATTGAGTCACAGACGTATGCAGCACAGAAACAAGCTCTTCAGCCCAACTCAACCATGCCAATCAGGTTTACTAAACTGAAATAGACCCATTTGTCTGCATTTACCCATACCCTTCTGAACTTTTCCTATCCGTGTACCTGTCTTTTAAACTGCTAATTAAGAAGTGTGCATGTGCGCTGCAGATAGTGTTTTGGAAAGAGAAGTGCCCCCCAAAAAATGGAAATTTACAAGGTGAATTTCCCATGCACTGTTCTAGGACATGAATAACAACATTCCTTCATGGTGAATTCCTGATTTACCGAGGGGAGTTGCCAAGTTGAAGCCAGGTGATTTCCCAAAGAGTTACCCAAACTTCTTCCTATATTTTTTAGTGGTCAGTACAATAATAGCACAAATAGATTGCTTATTTGACAATCCTCTACACGTTAGGCAGAGGAATGACCAACAGTGCTCTCGTGAAGCCTCTGTTTAGGGTGGAACAGAGGGTGTAATAGAGAAAGAACCGAGAGTCAGGAGTGGGTAAATGGTTTCATGGTGCAATTATGACGTCTATGGACTTGAAAATAGAGACATCCTGCTCCTCCCAGCTTCTCAGAAAGACTTTTTTTTAATTCATTCGTGGGACATGGGTGTCACACCTGGCGAGCATTTATTGCCTGTCCCTAGGTGGTAGTGAGCTGCCTTATTGAACCGCTACTGTTTATGTGCTATAGGTAGATCCATAATGTCATTAGGGAGGGAATTCCAGAATTTTCACCCAGCAACAGTGAAGGCACAGCAATACATTTCTAAGTCAGGATAGCGAGTGGTTTGTAGGGAAACTTGCAGGTGGTGGTTTTCCCATGTTTTGCTGCCCTTGTCCTTCTAGATGGAAGTGGTTGTGGGTTTGGAAGGCATATCTAAGAATCTTTGATGAATCTCTGCCTTGCATCTTGTAGATATTACATATTGCTGCTACTGAGTGTCAGTAATGGAGGGAGTCAACGTTTCTGGATATGACGCCAATCAAGCAGACTGCTTGATCTTGGACGGTGTCAACCTTCTTGTTGTGTTGTTGTTTTATTTTTAGGCTACCCTTTACTTGGTTGCCACAGGGGCCAATGAAGAATCCTGAACATGGACCTAGTACTTCAGGCCATCAATAACATATTTCATGGAGGGGAGCCTTTGAGTGCGAGGCCACTATATCAATACACTGAAGGGGCTTTAACTTCTTTCAAGCAATAGAAAAGTGAATTTAGCAGTGGGACAAAGGCTGTACAGACTGGACACAAATCCCACAATCCTACTGTTTTGCACCATTAGAAAATGGCAACAATACATTGCAGATTCTGCCCCATAATCTAGGACAATATTTCTTAACAGTATTTAGAGGCCATTGCACTGTACTACTTCATTTCCAAGGTCAATATGGACACTACATGTGTAAATACTGACAGTCCTTGAGTCATGGCCCAGTCAAGACTTAGGAAACAGAGCTTATTTATTTATTTGTTCATATTCAAGTGTATTTATCTATGATAAAATGGAATGCCAGATCTAAATCTAATCACCCTTGCTTATACATTCATCACTTTGGATCCTGCACCCAAATGTACCAGAAGGCTTAGAAGACTCTCTGAAATGGTAGCCCTATGCCCAATAAAAAAAATGGAAGATGGATCACAAATACACAGTCCAGCTGAGAATTACAAAACTAAAACAGCCAATCATTTGTCAGTCGAAAGGGATGAAGTAATACAAGACATGATTGTGAAATGCACTTCCTACATGAACTTTAAACAAAGGAATAGTATCATATTTTATACTTTTTCCATACATATAATTTTTGAACTATCATTGGAATTATGCAGTTTAGCCTCTTACAGAATAAAGTAATGGGAGGTTAAAAATATAAACTTTTCAGTTGGCAAAATGTTACTACTAAACTTCCTTTGTTATGTGGAGATCTGCCATTGCTTTTAAGATTTGAGGAAATGTGGAAACACACCTGCTAAGTGATGGTTTGGGGTGGAAAGTGACTTAAAATATATATTTACATTTATCTTTAGATTTTGATGCCCTTGCAAATTCAAAAACAGCTTAGCTAGTTGGTTCTGTTTATTTCAAAACCTGTGACCAGTTTTCACGAGATTAGCAAAATATGTCATAGTGCAACCAGCTACTGGTAAAGTTCCCATCTGAAGTTAAATTTAGACTGAAACGTATGTCTCTGTGGTTCAGTGTTGCAACTTTGATTTGCATTCTGGAAAACACCTTGACAAACTGAAAAAAAAGCATGCAACCTACTAAATGAGAAAAAGGAGCCTTTCTGTAGCCACCTGCATAAGCACAGTGAGCTTTTCAATATTGCTGTGCCATTGCTTTGACGAAAGTCCTTTATCAGGTGGGAAAAATTCTTGGCATGCCCATGAACACATGGCTGTAGGAATGAGGTCAGCCCCAATTACACTCAGTTGTTGGATTTACCCAGGATAGCTTTGAACAGCTTAGATCAGAATTAAAGGGACTCAGCTCCATAACTGTCCACTGTTTAATTTACTGGTGTTTACATAAAGAATAAGCCAATTTAGACTGCAGAGGCTTTAGACATACAAACATTACCACATATGTGGCTTTCAAACCACACACTAGGAACTGAATCCACTTGCTGTTTAAGGTTGAAGCAGGGATAGGGAGAGAAAATTAGTTGGAAAAGACAGGAAGACATAAACTTTAGGTCTTTGTGAATCCAACTGGACTGAACCACAACTTATTATGAGCAGAATTTCACCCATTAAAGCCCTATCAAAAAGGCAAATTTTACCTCAGTGAGACTTTCACAGAAACATACATAAGCGCAGAAGCCACTGTTATCCTCACCTGTACCGTTACCTCTACTTGGCTGAAGTGTGGCTTCAGGCCCCATAGTGTCATACTCTTCCTTCATTTCCTCTGTAGAGAAAAGAAACATGACAAGAAGCTGAGTATTTATGACCTTTAATTGTGGTATGGTAATCGGCATAGTGCCAGGCACAGCAAACCATCAGTAAAGTGAGACATTCGTTTTAAATAAACATAGGAATGATTGCACTAAACTCTAGTCTACAATGACTTTGTTCTGGCCTTTTCAATTAATTCAGCTATTCTGGGCCTGACCACTACTTATTTACCTTCAACATTTCAGCTAGTAGTGAAAAACAGTGAAGAAACTGAAGTTTGAGAACTGTCAAGCAATAGGAAGGAAACAGGGGTAAGAAATAAGTAGCGAAAAGACTTCAATAAACAATCAAACCCAACAATGTTAACTAGTCTCCCAAAGGCATACACTGAATTAAAGTTGGTTTGAGAAGAGACCGTTAGAAACTATTGTAACTAATGTAACTTTTGCAGTGTACTATTGCTCATCTCATGTGAATCATGTGAGTCATAAGCATCATAGTTTTCCACCTGAGGGCACTTGAACCAGCTGAGAGAAAAAAAGATTTACACTGTTTTTTGCATAATACCAGTAATACTCAACATTTCTGCTTCACTTACTTCCTCTGTGTCATTTTTAGGTAAAGGGTGAGAGAAGCTGTAATGTCCTGCATTATCTGTTTGCTGTGTTAACATTCATAAATAGGAACAATGTTTACAGATTGCTTTCTTGAGCTGAGTCTTGTTGTTGCAGTTGCATAGACTGTGTGGCACCTTTAGTTAAAACTGCTACAATCATGGCCTTGTAAACAAATCAGACTCAAAACAGCAAACTTAGACTGTGTACAAGAAGCAGTATCCTTTTGGTTGGTCCCTGGAGGGCAGGTTTGAAAAAAAAAACAGCAATTTTACATATTCCTATCTTTAAGTTCAGAACAATCAATGTAAATAACACAACACAGATGACAGATAACAAAAATCTTGATGGTTTAATATTGCTTCATGTTTTCTCACCACACAGTCTACAGCCGAGAAACCAATGATCTTTTTGTATTGTTTTTTGCCTGCCATGGATTGTCGCTATGATTTTCAAACAGCATAGTCCAAAAAGAATTTTTTTTAAACAATTAGAGACCAATGAGCCTAATACACGTGAAAACATTCATAGTATGTTATTGTCTAACATGCATGGAAGAAATCTCATAGAAGAAGTACTCGGCTCTCTGGACAAGAAGGATTGAATAAGCAAAAGGAGCAGACACGCAGGTGATTTATTTGAGCGCCTGTCAGTGATAATGATGTCATGTTTTCCAGCACACTCTGTCCACCCATTGTGGGATAAAAGAATGTCAAGGACAATTCAAAACACAAAACTTTTATTGTGCTGTAACCGGAAGGAACAGTAAGAACTTGAGCAGGTCAACTATGCTCTTCAGCTGAGAACCGATTTCCTGCAAACAAAGTATTGTAACACAGGAGTGAGAGAGAAAAAAGGAGACAGAGGATCTGAAAGGGAGTGCAACCTGAGCTAGTGCTATAAGGCAAAGGATTTTGTTGAGTGGGCGCGGGAACGAAAAGTATTTGAGAGCCGGGCAGCAATTGGTCAAAGGTGAAGTAAGCAATTACTGACAGGTTGTATATGTTTGGGAGGTGGAGGAGAGTGGGCAGCAGTTATGAGTTATAAATATCAAAGGTAAAATACAATAACCCAGGGCACCATCTATGTTGTAGAACTGTAAATAAGTTAGCACCTGCATTATAAGGCATGTAGCACCTCACAACCAGGACAAGGTAAGGGTCTGTGATTGTACATGGGAGGGAGTTGATATTAAGCATTAGCTTTTTGGTGTCCTCACCCAGCCTGTAGCAGTCGGCCTGTGTTTCTGTCATTTTATTTAGTCTCTGCAATTTAAGGCTTTGAAAGAAACATTCTAACATTCAATGCCACAGTCGCCATTCTTTCAGGTATCTGGAGATAAAATAATTCCTAAGTCAAAAAAAAACACAAATGCAGATCTCTGGCATTTGCTTTCAAACAGTTACACTGTACTTTTGCAAGTCGCTACAGAAACCTGATCAGCATCTTGACTTCTTGCAGGGTAATATGATTGTGAAAACTTCATTCTAGAGACATATTTAAATTTCAGAAACCAAGTGGTGTGAGAATGTGAAGTTCCACATGAGAATGCTGAGGTAACAACAACAATTTGCATTTATATAGTTCTTCTCTGGTTCAAAAACACCAAAACGCTTCACAGGAGCACAATAAGAAAAAAACTAACACCAAGATAAAGAAGGTGATAAGAGAGCAATGTGAGCAAATGTTTGGTTAAAGATGCATGTTTTTAGGTAGGTTTGAAAAAGCAAGAATTAGATAAGTGGAAAGACCTAGAAAGAAAATTCAGGAATTCAGGTCTATTTGGGTAAAATCATGACTATCAAGGGTGGTATAGAGCATGTGTGAGACGCAAAACGTAGCCAGAGTTGGACGATGACTTTAGGAAGTGATTTACATGTTCAGTGACTTAAAGAGAAAAGAAAGGAGTTTGCAGCTGGTGCAGTATTTTGGAGCAGTATTTCTAAGGACAGATCAAAGTGTTTTGAGGAGTGGATAGGGTGATAACGGCAGATTTGAAAGAGATGGGATATTATCTAGCATGGTGGCCTGGAAACAAAATTGGTTAGTCAGAGGTTTAATGGGCATAGGGTGGAAAAGTGCAGGAAATGTGTTTAACAGATAAGTTGTGTTCTGAGAGGGTTTAAGGAGACACAAGAGAAGCTAGGTAAGGATGTATATTCAGGTAAAGGGCTGGTAAAGGCTGGTTAAATGGGCAAGGGGGAATAAAGAGTCCAAAAGAGGCAGCAGAATTAATGACCTCAATTTTAATGACAAGAACTCCATGAGCTCCACATGCAGGTTTCGGAAAGTGAACAAAATAGAGTCATGGAGTCATAGAGTCCGACAGCACAGAGAAAGGCCCTTCGGCCCAAACTGGTCCATGCCGACCAAAATGTCCATCCACACTAACCCCATTTCCCAGCACTTGGCCCATATCCTTCTAAAGCTTTCCTATCCATGTATTCGTCCAAATGCCTGTTAAATGTTGGTAATGTACCCGCCTCAACCACTTCTGCTGGAAGCTTATTCTATTTGCGTACCACCCTCTGTAAATAAGTTGCCCCTCAGGTTCCCATTTATTCTTTCCCCTCTTACCTTAAATTGCTGCCCTCTGGTCCTTGATTCCCCAATCCTGGGAAAAAGACTGAGTGCATTCACCCTATCCATGCCTCTCATGATCTTATACACTTCTATAAGATCCCCTTCAGTCTTCTACGCTCTAAAGAAAAATGTCCTAGCTTGTCCAACCCCTCCCTGTAACTCAGTCCCTGGAGTCCTGGCAATATTCTTGTAAATTTCTTCTGCACTCTTTCTAGTTTAATAACATCCTTCTTATAGCAAAGGTGACCAAAACTGAACTCAATACTCCAAGTGTGGCCTCACCAATGTCCTGTACAACTGCAGTATAACTTCTCAACTTCTGTACTCAATGTCCTGACTGATGAAGGCCAGTGTGCCAAAAGCCTTATTCACTGCTCTGTCTAACTGTGACTCTACTTTCAGAGAACCTTGCACCTGAACTCCAAGGTCCCTCTGTTCCACTACTCTCCTTAAGGCCCTACCATTCACAGTGAAACTCCGACCTTGATTTGACTTTACAAAATGCAACATCCCATACTTATCTATATTAAACTCCATTTGCCATTTCTGGGCCACTTACCCCGCTAATCAAGATCCTGCTGCAATTTCTGACAACCTTCCTCACTGTCCATGATACCACCTATTTTAGTGTCATCCACAAACTTACTAATCATGCCTTGTACATTCTCATCCAAATTATTGAGAGATACAACAAGGAGGAATGGGCCCAGCACTACCCCTGAGTCACACCACTAGTCACAGGTCTCCAGGCTGACAAGTATCCTTCCACTATTACTCTCTGCTTCCTACCATTAAGCCAATTGTGTATCGAATTTGCCAGCTCTCCCTTGATTCCATGCAATCTAACCTTCCAGAGCAGCCTACCATGTGGAACCTTATCAAAGGTCTTACTGAAATCCATACAGACTACGTCTACCACCCTGTCCTCATCAAACTTCCTAGTTACTTCATTAAAGAGCTCCAATAAATTTATAGGGCTTGATCTCCCACGCTCAAAGCCATGATGACTACTCCTCATCAAACCCTGTCTTTCTAAATGCATGTCTATCTTATCCCTCAGAATTTTCTCAAGTAACTTACCTACCACAGATGTTAAGCTACTGGTCTATAATTCCCAGGTTTTTCTTTGCAGCTCTTCTTGAATCAGGGCACAACATTGTCCACCCTCCAGTTTTCCAGGACCCCACCCATGGCTAACCATGATGCAAATCTATCAGCCAGTGCCCCCGCAATTTCTTCTCTAGCCTCTTGCAGGGTTTGTGAATATATCTGGTCAGGACCAGGAGAATTATCCACCTTCATTCATTCCAATACTTCCAGTAACTCTTCTACTGTGAAATGGACAATCCCTAAGATATTGCCACTAATTTCCCCAAGTTCCCAAGTCTTCATGTCTTTCTCCATAGTAAACATGGAGGAGAAATATTCATTGAGGATTTCGCCCATCTCCTGTGGTTCCTCACATACATGTCCACTTTGATCCTTGAGAGGTCCTATTCTCTCTCTAATTATTCTTTTTCTTTTAATATACTTAAATAATTTCTTTGGATTCGCCCTAATCTTCTCAGCCAAAGGTATCTCATGCTCCCTTTTTACCCTCCTGATTTCCTTCTTCAGTAAACTCCTGTAGCCCCTATATACCTCCAAGATTCCCTTGATCCCAGCTGCCTGTTCCTGATCCATGCCTCCATCTGTTTTCTGGTCAAAGCCTCAATATCTCTTGTCATCCAGGGTTCCCTACTCCTGCCAACCTTGCCCTTTACCCTCACAGGAACATTTAGACCTTGAACTCTAGCTATCATAATTTTAAAGGCCTCCCACTTGTCAGAGGTCCCTTTGCTACAAACAAACTACTCCAATCAACCCCTGCAAGCTCCTATTTAATT